TTCCCAGACAACACTTTACATGAATCATGCTGTATACTTTAACTACTAATGTAGCTGTAATACACAGTTTCATCAGAGGCCAATTGTAAGTAGTGCTTATTAATGTCCACTTCTTGCTAACATATCCATGTGAATACCAAATAGATTACTAATGTTAATGCATTCAATACACTATGTTTCTAAACTAACCATATCTTACTGCTCATTTAATTGTATTCAGAGTCTTAGCTATCAAAATTCTAATAATGTTGACTAAAGCTTTGCAAAATCACATGCCACATATAACATAAAATACTTGTCACAGAATTATACTGTTTCATGAACAGCATAAAATTGTTGAAAAAAGAAAAATGAGTGACTTGAAAAAGTAGGAAGGACTCAAAGACTGAAAAGAAGAATAAAATGAAAACAGCTTTCTTTGGAGGAGAATATTTATAATGACCTCTAAATTATTTAGAGTTCACATCCCAAACTTTTAAAACATGCAAAAAAAAATTAAAACACTACATTCTCACTTTTTTCTTTTTTCTTTTTTTTTCTTTTCTTTTTTTTTTTTTTTGTTCTCTGTAGCTAATCACTGTGCTGAGTGCAAATTGACATTTTCTTGCCATTATGATCAATCAAAGTCTTTGTTCTAGGAATGATCACATAATTAAACAGAAGATTAAAGAATTCCCATGAATAATTTGTGCTCATTTCTCTCTGTTATACCCATTTAACCCAGTTGAGCATGCCTGCTGACTTGTCTCAGACTCTTATTTTCATTGGAAAAGTAGCATTCCCACCCTCCCCTGTAGCTGATAACGATTTTTGTTTCATGCTATTGCTTAAACATTTCTGTGAACTTAACCAGTTCTTCTCCAAAGCATATTCTATTGACCTTGCTCAAAAACAAAAGGACAAATGAACTGCTTTTATGAAGAAATGTTAAAAAGGAGAGATATACATTTGAAAAAAATTGATTTTTCTCTAGTGCTTACAGTAATACATGTTGGGAGTCAAATATATTTTGGTTTGTGTCCCATAGAAGGCCAGAGGACAGCATCACAACATGATCTATTTTAGTTCATCCAGTGCATCTCATTCTGACTTCTTGAATGCTCAGTCAGAAGTGTTATGTTCTTGGATACCTTCTAGGATCTTCTCTTATAATCTGTGGATCTTTTTAGAAGTAATATGGGCAAAAAGAAGTGCACCCAAGAAGGGCACCATCAGCAAATACATCAGCATTGGTGGGAACTTCATTTAAAATTGCAGTGGCCAATGGATGCAGGAATTTCAAATGGGATAGCAGTACAGAGCACTGATGAGCCTAAAACAACTCAACCAATGGGAAGCTCTAAGCAAGCCCTGAGCCCATCTTTACTGGCAAGGAGGAGAGCACACAGGCACCAGTTTGCACTTAAAGTTTCTTAACGTAAAGAGGAGTTAAGATCTTTCTCCTCTTCTCCATGGTTTTCAAAATTGCAAAGTAGTAGTGAATGACAAATGGCAAGGCAAGCACTGGAACAGGCTGCAAAGATGATAATCCTTTCTAAGCAGACTTACTAACTCCCTGCAGTATGGAACAGCTAAGCCAGAAGCACTACTTTGTGTTTGAAAAAAGTTACTGGACCATCACAAGTTAGAACATCAAGGTCAGGATCTGGCTATCTGTGTACAAAACGTGTTTGTCAAAATGAATCATAACTATGCTTTGTTTTGATAAATTTGTCAAAATCAAGGGACTGTATTCTCTACTACTCCGATATTCAGGGAGCTAAAACAACTCTAAAAAGCACGTACCGACCACATTGCAGGAGGCGTTAGGTTTTGTTAAAAGCTTTGTCTTGCAATATATTTCTTCTGTTATCTTGGATCATTAGTGCACAAACAAGTTTAAATTAGAATAAATACACAATTCATCATCTGGCTAAAATAACCATCTTCAAATTACTCCAGGAAAACAAGCCTCTGTTGGAAGCAATTAACTTTTACTACGTGGAATTTACGACATTAGCAGAATGAGTACACAGAGGCTAGTTAGTCAAGGACTATTACTGACTAGGAGAAGTAAGAAATCTATGTATAAATATTTAAGAAATTATTTGTCCTTGACATTCTCTTTAGATATTAAGAAATGAAATTGTAGAAAGGGTGAATGAAAATATGAATTCTACTGCTTTGGTTCAAAGTATGGCCAGGTTTCTAAAAATAAAATAAAAACTATAATTTTTATCTCTAAGTAAACATTTCATTCTTGAGCTGTTATTCAGCTGTTAGATGTAAGACGATTACTTTCAATGGATATGAGTGGCTCTTTTGTTTTTGCTGAAATAAGAATTGTGAAAAATTATCGAAGCTCAGGAAGATGAAAACTCTGAATATTAATAATTTCTTCAAAAATATTCTATATAGGTAGAAACAAAAAATAATTTGGTAAAAGACCAATAATTTGTTATTTCTCTTGCTTCAGAAATAATAGAGCATAGTGACAATCTCTCAGGAAACAGCTGCTGATGAGGAATATAATATTCTTTGCATTATTTCATAAGTTCTTTATCATATACTTCTATATACAACATTAAAATATGAGTACAATTAGTAATATATATATTTTGTTTCATAAAGTATAATGTGATAAATTCTGGCAGTACTGATTTTTTCCTTGTTATTAATTTATTTTTATTTTTATTTTTATTTTTATTTTTATTTTTATTTTTATTTTT